TCACAAGGGAAATTAGAAAGTACTTAGAAATGAATGAAAGTACAATATATCAAAATATACAGAAAACAGTTAAATCAGTGCTCAGAGGAAGTTTACACAAAGGCTTGCATTGAAAAAGAAGCAAGCTCAGAGTGGTCACTTAACACTATGAAGAACTAGGAAAAGAAGAGCAAAGTAAACCCAAAGCTAGCAGAAAAGGAGAAAATAATAAATATTAGATTGGAGATAAACAAATTAGAGAACAGAAAACAACAGAAAGATCAAAGAAACTAAAAGGTGGTTCTTTGAAAAGATGAACAGAATTGACAAACCTTTAGCTAGACTGCTAAAAGAAAAGAAAGATGCAAATCACAGATAACAGAAATCAAGTGAGAATATTATAACCTTACAGAGATATAAAGAATGAATGCTAAGAGAATACTATGAACATGGACCTTCCTGGTGGCACAATGGGTTGAAGTGCAGTACTGCAAGTGAGCCACAGCCCCTTCACTGTGAGTTTGATCCCCACCCCGGAGGTGACCCACATGGCCCGGCAGACCTCTCCTGACCCGCCCACTGCTCCCCTCAGCAGTGTACTTCATCAGTCGGCCTGTTCTCCTCCCCGCTCTGACTCTGGTGAATCCTCTCACCGCCCCTGCACCTCTGGCCTGCATCCCACCCAGTTCAGTATGCATAAGTAAATAGATCTTTTTTATTTTTTTAAGAAGAGAATACTATGAACAACTGTGCCTATGTTAAGAACTTAGATAATGTGGAAGAAATGGACAATTTGCTTGAAACAGGTCATTTCAATTGACTACAGAACAGAAAATCTCAACATCAATAATAAGAGATTGGATTAGCAATCAATAACCTCCCAACAAAGAACACTCCAGTCCGGGTGGCTTCACTAGTGAATTCTACTTCAAATTTGAGCAAGAGTTAACATCAACCTTTCTCAAATTCTTCTAACTGAAGACGGAACACTTGAAAAAACTGTGTTGCATCTCGCTGAAGTGACTCTGGTTCACGTCGTTAGACAAGATTTGGTGGCACACGTGGATCCCAGCCACCGGCCCACTGGGTTAACCACCCCAAACCTTCCACTCCGGTAGCCCCAACTGTGTAGCCAGCTTTTGAGGGTTTGTTTGGTTTAGTTTTGTTTTGTTTGTTCCTTTTCTTTGTTTCCTTATATTCCACACAAGAGTGCAGGAAGCCGTCAGTGTCTTTTCTCCTATTTTACTTAGCATAACCCTTCCAGTCCCATCCTGTTAGCAATGGCAACAGCTCACCCCCTCCCTCCGTCCACGCGTGTGCATGTGTGTGTGTGTGTGTGTATGTGTGGTGTGTAGGACTCCACTGTGCTCACACACCACATCTTCATCCTCTCGGCTACTGTCGGGCACTCAGGCAGGTTCCACAGCTTGGTGACTGCAGACCGCGCCGTGAGCACGGGAGCGTGTCCTTCTCAATCAGCGTTTTCTCATTCGTTGAAGAGAGACCCAGGATGCGGTTGCTGGGCCGTATGGTAGCTGCTAGTAAATATTTTTTCTTTTTGGCATGTGATTTTCCAGACAAACTTTGTTGAAGATATTTCCCTTTCCTTGACATCTCTGTTGTAGATTAACTGTCCATGTAAGTGTGGGTTTGTTTTTGGGCTCTCAACTCAAGCCCATTATTCTGATTACCATAGACTGAAGTCCAGGAGTGTGATTCTCTCTCTCTCTCTTTTTTTTTTGGTCAGGACTGCTTTGGGTTTTTGGGATCTTTTGTGGTTCCACATAAAATTTGATAGTGTTTGCACTAGTACTTTGCAGAATGTGATTGGGTGCTTGGTAGGGGTTGCAGTCTGTCCTGGCTGTGTAGCGTAAGGTGGCCACTTTGATACTATTAATTCTTCTAATCCAAGAGCAAGGAATCTTTTCCCATTTCCTTGGGTCTTTTATTTCTCTTAACAATGTTTTCACTGGACAGCTCTTTCACCTCCTTTAAGTTTATACCTAGGTATTTAGCTCTTTAGATGAAGTTGAATGGGCTTGTTCTCTGATTTCTTCCTCGTCTAGCTCATATACAGGCACAGAAATGCAACAGATTTTATATACTGACTAGTCACCTGGCACTTCATCAAGCTGATTTATTCTATTGAATAGTTGCTTTAGGATTTTCCTAGTACATTATCAGGTCATCTGCAAACAATGATAGTTTTACTCCCTTTTCCCCACAATTCAACTCCTTTTATGTATTCCTCCTGTCTAACAGCTGTAGTTAGGTCTTTTAATACTACGTTGAGTAGTGGTGGCGAGAGTGAAAATCCTGGTCTTTTATTATCCGGCACTCAGAGAAGATTTGTTTTTCTCCACTGACTGTGATGTTAGTGTCTGGTGTACGGTTGGTTATATGCTCTTCATTTGAACATCCTGTCAAATGTCTCTGCATTTATTGATATGACATGATTTTTAGCTTTCCTTTTGATGATGACTTTTTTTAGCTGAACTACTCTTGCATTCCTGGAGTAAACATCACAGTCAATGGGTGAGATCCTTTTGACGCATTGTTGAATTCAGTCTGCTAAGACTTTGTTGAGGACTTTTATATTTGTTTATCAAAGATATTGGTCTGTAGCTTTTGTTTTCTTTTTGTGATTCCTTAATGCTTTTGGTATCAGAGGAATATTGGCCTCGTGAGATGTGTTTGAAGCATCTTTTTCTACAGTTTTTCTGAAGAAAGGACAGATATCAGTTCATCTTTGAAGATCTGACAGGGCTCATTAGCAAAACCATCCGGTCCTGGGCTTTTGTGTTTTGGGTGACTTTTGATTGTTGCTTCAGGTTCCTTGGTTGTAACTGATCTGTGCAGGTTTTCTATTTCGCACTGATTCTGTCTCAGAAGGTTGTATATGTCTAAGGATTTGTCCATTTCTTCTAGATTATCCAGTTTATTGGGGTAAAGATGTTCACAGCACTCTCACGGTCCTCTGTATTTCTGAGATTTCTGTTCTAACTTCTCTTTTGTTCTGGTCCTATTTACTATAATTTTCTCCCCCTTTTCTCCACGAGAATTTTCTCTGTGAGCCCTGCTAGATGAGAATTTCAACAGACATTTCTCCAAAGAAGATATACAAATGGCCATGAAAAGATGCGCAACATCATTAATCACTAGGGAAAGGTACATCAAAACCATACTGATATCACTTCATAGTTACAGGATGGCTATAATTAAAAACAAAACAAAATGTAAAAAGCCACAAGTGTTGCTAAAGATGTGGAGGAACTGGAGCCTTTATGCATGGCTGGTGAGCATATAAAGGGGTGCAGCCTCTCGGGAAACAGCTCTCAAAATACAGATGCTCCGGACACGCCAACAGCTGCAATTCCCGGGCACATCCCACAGGAGTGAAAGCCTGGCGCCAGGGCGCACAGCGACAGCATCCAAACTGCCCAGCGGGGGAGACGGTCAAGGGGCCCGTGACAGACGAACACACCCAGTGTGACAGCTGCGTGTGCACGTCTGGGGACGATTGGTCTGCTCTAGGTGAGATCTGGATACTTGCGACAGCATGAATGGGCCCTGCGAACCCTGTGCCTTGTGAAGTAAGCCAGACAGAGAAGGCCAAGAAATACAAGCTTCCGCCTGTCGGAGCTACCTGTGGAGGCTGCTGGGGTGGGGGTTGAAGAGGAGGCAAGTTTGGGATAAGGAAACTCGGGGTGTAGACAGAGGCGACGACGACATGGCGCTGTAGATGTATGTAAGGTCGCTAAACTGTACACTTGAAAGTGGCTAAAATAGGCCCTTCCTGGTGGCACCAGGGGCGAAAGCGCAGCACAGCGGAGCTGAACCAGCCGCTGCTGCGCCAGGACGACCCGGCCAGGGAGGCCCCAGGGCGCTGCAGACTCTCCTGACCCGCCCGCGGCTCCCCTCAGCAGTGCACTTCAGTCCATCTGCCTGTTCTGCTCCCCGCTCTGTCTCTGGGGCGTCCTCTCGCCCCTGTACTTCTGGCCTGTACCCCAACTTTCATATGTATGAACAAATCTATCTTTTTTAAAAACAAAAGAAAAAGAATGGCTAAAATAATATTGCATGTATCGTTTTCTATAATAAAATATATACCCAAAGAACATAAAATGATCATAAAAAACTTGACTCTGAATGTTTATAGCAGGATTAGTCAGAGTAGCCAGAAAAGGTAATAACCCAGCAAATGGATGAATGATCAGCAAAATGGTCTATGCATGCAGTGAAGTACTACCTGGAAAAAAGCAGGAGTCCGGTTAAATTTGGGGAAACTCTGAAAATACCGAGGGTTGTATCCGTGACCACATCCTGGCTGTCACCTATTAGCCTCGCAAAATGTTACCTGCGGGGGATTCTGGGCAAATAAGGAATCTGTATTCTTTCTTACAGTTGCATGTGGACCTACAAATATCTCAATACATTTTCAATTACAAAATTGTTCCAGCTGATGACAGTGGCTGCCGTCTGAAAGTGTGCTGTGCAAGATTTATCTAAGCTTTTATTCCAAAGATCTAGTTACTCATAGTAAAGTTTTTGAATTTGCTCCTAAAAGGGAAAAAGGATGGAGTGCTAGTATGTGTTTCAACATGCACAGACTGAACATCCTAAATCACACGATTCGTAAGTTTATGGCTCCACTCATATGAAATATTCAGCACGGGCCATCTACAGAGACAGAACGTGTATTGTGGGTTGCAGGTTGGGGAACTCTGGAGAACAAAACTAGCTGCTAGTGATCATGGGGTTTATTTTGGAGGTGAGAAAATGTTTTAAATTTAGACTGTGACAATGATCGCACGAGTGGATGACAGAGTCGAATCCACTGAGTTGCATATTATAAACGAGCCGACTGTGTGCTGTGGGAATATGTCACTAAAGGTTTTTGGACAGCGAGCCCTAGTTCTTATTCAACCCCCTGAATTTCTGTATTTCTTTTCCTGATCTGAGTAAGAAGAGGAGAAAGATCACAAATGGTGGAATTTTTGAGTCGTTTTGCATGATCTTACCAGTGAGTAGTTCTATCCATGTTTGGACAGTTTCTGTGGGTTCAGTGGCTTTGATGTGTTTGAGAGTTTCATCCAGTAAAACGTCACCTGTCGGGCTGTCTGACCTGAGCAGTACCTTTCAGGAAAGAGGTGAGGAACCTGGTTCATTCCATCATTCAAATTCATTTTCGTCAATACACTACACATTGATGGTTAAGTGTCGCAGAAAACGCAAACAAGCAGTAGAATGGACTGTCCCTGCGCTTAGGAGCTTCAAATAATATGGGGTGATAGTCGGGAGACGAAGAGACCCTGGAAGTGATCCCTGGTGATCAAATGGGTATAAATGATGACAAAGGAAAGATCCAATAATAACTCTGAGCCTGGAACAGCCTCTTGAGGAACAATTGCCTGCTGGAAGCATCAGGGTGCAGGGTCCGGCCACCAGCTGGACGTGACCCTGGTTGGAAAAGGTGGGAAAAGAAGGTGGGGCTGGAGACGTGGGGTTTAACCTCCTGGAGATCACAGACGAAGCGGGACACGAACGACATCTCCAAGCATCATGCCAAGGGAGCCAGACCCGACTCGGGTTCAGAATGGACACGTGGAGGAAACAGAGAAGCCAGCGCCAGGGAAGGAGGCCGTCTTCGACAGAGGGGATCCACGGCCCGGCGCCACACAGCGGTTGAAAGAGAAGCCAGAAGCTGCTGGCCCCTGAGAAGGGGCTGTCCAGAGTGAGGTGTGGCAGTGACAGTGGGGGACAGTGGGGCATGGAGACAGATGGCCCTCAGGGCCCGGCGCGCGTCCCCAGCTGTCCGGGGCCGCCTGGGGATGACCAGCGCTCAGCAAGGCCAGCGCCCGGCCCCGGCACACGCCCATTTCACAGGGTAGTGACGGAGGGGACCCGGCCCAGCGCGTCACATCCTGACTTCACTGAGTCAGAGGCGGCCGGCACCGGGCCCCGCGCCGACCGGGCCTGGCCGCCCCTCTGCGTGGGACCTGACTGCCCGCGAGGCCGTGTGGGCGGCAGCGGCCCACCCATGGGCTGCCGCGTCGCGCCTCCCTGAGCGAAGCGGGGTGCACGGGCGTGTACCTTTCTGTCCAGCAGCCGTTTCTTACGCACGGTGGTGGGCTCCAGGGAGATCCGACCCCGCATGGCCAGCTCTATCAGGATGCCGCCCCGCAGGCCCGACGATATGCAGTCGTTCCAGAAGGACGTGTAGCCCTGCAGGGGAGAAGGGGAGAGAGGCTGCCGTCCAGCCGCCCGACCCGCTTCCCCGCGGGCTGCGACTCCAGGCCGGCTGGGTCTGCCCACGTCAAGCTGCTTGGTGACTTCCTTTGGTTTGGCTGTTAGAAACTGGCATGACAAATTTTAAACTTTTGAGAAATTGGGCTGCTTTGAAATCTGTTTCCAAGACACTCTACATCTGGAGTCGGACCTAAGTTAAACCAAGCAGAAAAACGCGGACAACGGGCCTCGCCCCTCTGGGACGTGCGTTTAGGAGCACGCTGTGGCCGGCGAGTCCAGGCCCCGCCGGCCACCTGTAAGGACAAGCCCAGGGCTCACTGCACAGTTCGCAGAGGGACAGTGGGGACAGTGATACCTTCCCACGTTTGCTGTGGGGAGTAAATGAGACGTCACACATGAGACAGGCCTGGGGTGCCGGGCAGGCAGCCGGCACCTAAATGCTGTCTCCCTTTCCCAGCAGCCCAGCTACTGGGAGACAGCACAGGGAGCAAGAGGTTCTAGAGACGGATCGATGCAGGCAGGGCTGGGCACAGCCAGGGGCGCGGGGGGCGAGAGGCTTCACCAGAGACGGGGTGGGGAGCAGAACAGGCCGACTGCCGGAGCACACCGCTGAGGGGAGCAGCGGGGAGACGGGGGGGGGGCTGCTGCGCCCTGGGGTCCCTCCCTGGCTGGGCTGAACTCGCTGAAGCGGCTGCCACCTGCTTCGCAGCGGGGAGGGCCCGAGCCAGGATGATCTGTGAGCTCCAATCTCATCATGTAACTGTCTCCTTCCCGTTTAAAATTTTGAGGCGCTTCTCGCCCTCAAGTCCAGACCCCTCTGGACAGCATTCAAGCCTGGGGCTGCTGCAGTCTCCTCTGGGAGCCTCCCCGGCGTGGAGCTATTTTGCGAGCTCCTGATGCCTCGCCACTTCCCCTGGCGCTGGACACGCGGCCCTCACTGTCCAGAAGCGCCCATTCGCGCGTTCCCCGGCTCAGCCCCTTCTGAAGTGCTGAGGGCCTAGAGCCACATTTTTCTTCCTTTTTTACATTTTATTTGTGCACACAGAACTGGGGTACAGGCCAGAGGTGCAGGGGCGGTGAGAGGGCTCCCCGGGGACAGAGTGGGGGGCAGAGCAGGCGGTGGCCTGAAATCCACTCCGAGGGGAGCAGCGGGGAGACCCGAGTCTGCTGCACCCTGGGGCCCCTCCTGGCGGGGGTCGCGCTCGAGTGGAAGCTGCGGCCGCTCGGTGCCGCGCTCTCGCCTGGCCAGCGGGGCCATGTCCGCCGTCACCTCGCCGGCCCGCCTGCCCCCACCGGCCACGGGCCTCACCTGGGTGTGTCTGGGAGTCCTGCTCTAGCATTTATTATGTCGCAGTCAAGTGTTTGCCCCCAGTGGGCTACAGACTCTCCGAAGGGAGTACCTGGCTGGTGCATACTCTCAGGCTCCCAGCTGGGTTAGGTCCGTCCACGCCCTGCCTCGCAGCTACTTCAGATCGTCCTTGTGACTTCTCTTTGGAAGCGTAGGCTTGTCACTTTAGATGACACTTGCTTTTATGCAACTTACCCGCTTAGTTAAGGCTGAGGCGTGACTTAGTCCACATATTATTCACTGAGGCCTCGCTTTTATGTACAACTGGTGACTTCAGGACTCAGCAGATGGGCAAACATTTCAGTCACTTCAACAGCAAGCTGAGCAGCTTCCTCACTCCTGCCTGATACTGTCCTGTGTCAGCGGCAGTGGTGGCCGATGGCCGAGGGCACCGTGACTGCGGCTCACCGTAAGCAAGCGGCGGGGGCCAGAGGGTGGACGCCCTTGCGCGTCACCGTACCTCATGATACGTAACCCTCTTCAGATGAGTCCTGGTAACTTTACTGAGGCACGTGCCAAGCAGGAAAAAGGTTAAAATACACGTACAGCTTTAAAAAATAGTTATAATTCTGAAGCCCGTTTTCCTCTAACTATATCTACCTGCCTTTTCCTTCTTTTTTTCAATCTATCTGAATTTTCTGACCGGCTGTGATAAAGATGATGTGCTGACGGACCACTGCTCTAACACACAAGACACTTAGCACATACACATGAAGTTTACCATTCCATTGTGAAATTAGCTTAACCAATTCAACCAAAGATTCACATATGAAGAAAAAGAGCAGATCTTAGGATCGATAAACACAATGGAATTCGCACGTTGCCTCCTGACCAGCAGGGAATCGTGGGGGTTGGCAGAAAGAGGTGTTTGGACAGTAAACTTTCTTTTGTTCTGACTCTAAAAGAACAAAGGTCACATAACAGAAATGTGTGACGAGGGGATGAACGCCTCCCAGTCGGATAAACATTACGCACGCACAATCTTGGTTTTACACACATGTATAGATTCTATTAGTATTATTTTTAGAAGTGAAGTAATGCCAGGCGACAGCCCCCCCCCCAGCGCTCTGGACCTCTCCGCATCAGCGACCGCGCAATTCCTCCCTCGCTGTAGGGGCGCTTTGCTGTACCTCAGACCCACGATGGTTTCGCCAAGCTTTGGCTGATGTCTGCTTAGGTGGTGCAGGGAACGGCCATGACAAATTTTTTTATGAAAAAGATAGTAAGTTCTCCTTTAACAGCATGGTTAGGCGCTTGGAAACTGCCGGAAAGAGAAATGACTTAGAATGAAATCCACCTTACCACAGGCCTTGACATAGGTGACAGGGAGCTTTGCCTGCACACTGTTGGTGGGGATGGGTGCAGTCTCTGGGGAAACGGTATGCAGGGGCCTCAAAAAAGTTAAAAATTGTATCTACTATATGGTCTAATAACCCCACTTTTGGGTATCTATCCAAGAGTATAAAAACACTAGTTTGAAAAGCTTTTAAACTAAACTAGTGTTTTTTTGTGTGTGTTTTGTTTTTTTAAAAGATTTATTTATTTGTGCTAACAGAACTGGGGTACAGGCCAGAGGTGTGGTGGGTGAGAGGCTTCACCAGAGACAGAGTGGGGAGCAGAACAGGCAGATCAACAGAAACACACTGCTGAGGGGAGCAGCGGGCGGGTCAGCAGAGATCTGCCAAGCATGTGGGTGACTCCCTGGCCGGGGATGGCTGCACTGGCTTCAGAGAGCTTCATAACATGGCACTTTAACCCGCTGCACCACAAGGGAGAGCCCCCTAGTGTTTTTTTAAAGGTCTTTCATATCTCATTTGATTTATTCCTATGTGCTTTTAGTTTTTATTGTTATTGGGAATGGTCATTTAAAAAATTATTTATTGATGCACGCAGAACTGGGGTACAGGCCAGAGGTGCAGGGGCGGTGAGAGGCTTCACCAGAGACAGGGTGGGGAGCAGGGCAGGCAGATGCGTCCTAACCCCGTTGCGCCACCAGGGAGGGCCCCTCAAACGAGTGTGTTCATACTCTTGGGTAAAGAGTCTGTGGTAAGTGCACACACCGGAGCAGAATCCAGCTGTAAAAAGAGGGAACCTTGGCATCTGTGACAAAAGGGAGGGGGGATGACGCTAAGTGATACGGGACAGAGGGAGACAGAAAAACAGCAATCACCTCACTCTTACGTAGAATGTAAAGAGATAAAGCAAAGAACGGGCCAAACCAAGCCAAAACAAATCCCTGGATTTGGACCACAGCGCCGAGTTTTCCAGAGGTGGGG